CGTATGATACACACACACACACACACACACGTATAGAGAGCAGTATATACAGTAAATAAGTCTAACCAGTCAGGCAGGCCACACTCCATGCTGTGCCCATATAAGTCCAACCTCCTCTGATAATGTGGGGGAACAAATTCATACATCGATCTACAGCCACTGAACAGTGGAAAACACGCATGGTATCAATTCATATTTAATACACAAAAGCTACACTTGAATTCAATCCACATCTTTCATCTACAATACTACTGACCCCCCGAAATAGTAACTTTATCCATTAAAGTACCTGATTTTGGGATATTTTGTTATATGGTATGTCTTGTTGTATTCAGATTTTGAGATGAGATACAGAGAAATATCATTCAAAGGTGTAAACCAAGTTCATTATATGAGCAGTGTGTTGGAGTAGCTCAGAATTAGAAGCTGAATATATAATATAGCTATTACTAAAATGGCACTAAGTAGAGTTTACACCTCCAACAAGACCCAACAGATCCCTCTTGAAACCACGTTCAAAATCAGTAGATCCATTTATTTGGATCTGCATCAAATTGCACACACTCTCAAATATTAGTCTCTTAAAAATGATTTTTTTTGGGGAGAGAAACATGAGAGAAACAATAATCTGGATCTGCCCCGTGATACAGATCCACACATAAATTTAATGTATTTTTTCTTGGGTCACGCAACACCTCCACAAGATTGGATGGAAATTGGCTGAGCATTTTTCCCCTAATACGGCTAATTAACAGAACGACGGTTTTTCAGTGGGTTAAGGTTGAGGTAGGAGTTTGGGAAATGGTGAGTAGGTGTGCATCATTTACAACGGACAAATAATATCAACTTAATTGCATAACTTAAACAGCATCCCGATACAAATTATTCATGAATGTTTGAATGTACTCAAAGTCATTTTGACACTTGCAGTATGTGACAGACCACAAACAATCGATTTGAAGCTACAGTCGTGGAGTAAACATGTCGGCACAGTGATGGGTGACGTTATATCTTCTGAGGAGTGACATAAAAAATGCACCATGTCCTGATCTGTAGTCTGCGTACTAGTGAGTCCACCAGCACTGTTTATATTTTGTCTGTCTACAGCAGTGGTTCTTCTTTGTAATCATTGCAACAGTGTCTCTATCCAACCTTTATATTATTCAATGCTTTCAGTCAGTATTTGATCCAAAGCATAACTCTAACATCAGTAAAGTTGACATAAGTAGTATTGAAATATATTTCGAAATTATTAACAAATGGGCTATTTTTAAGAAAATAGGCTCATTCCACACTCATCACAAGTATTTACTGTCCGGGTTGATGTTGTATTATAATGAATTGGGGATGAAACCCACACATGCAGGCAGTAGCACTATAGTTACATAGTCACACTATTATCTTATGTTCTATTTGCCTTGTACTGAAGAAACCCTGACCCATCACTTCGACTTAAAAGTGAGAATTAAGAAAAAAATACTTTTTGGATTCATTACACAGATGCTACAAATTAGCTTCAAGCTCATTCTGATTAATTAAAAAGAGCAACATTTTATCTGGATTGTTCATGTGAGTAATTTAGTATCATCTGAGAATCAGCTGAGTTTTAATACTGTGTCGGTGCTGATTCTTTTCCCGATGTCAGCTGACTGTCATCAGTTACCTTCCAAGTCAATGAATTTAAATTCAGAGCCTTCCAGTCATCAACAAGGTTTTGGATTTTTCAAAAATCAGAATGATGTAAGTTTTCTCTACCACATCAAAAACATCATATTCCAGCGTGGTTGGACAAATATGTAATTTTTAAATTCCTAGCTGTCAACAGCCTAAGCTGTCATCTCTGCCAGGGATTCAACAATGTGTTAAGTTACTGTTCAACCCCGTGAATTAAGAGATACTTTCACCTTGTGTAGAGTCACTGAATTTACAAAGATATGATTTAGTCTTTATGACAGAGGTGGGGAACCTTTCTCCTTTCAACGGCCATTTCAATTTTATAACATCCTTCGAGGGCCATTCTAAATTATTGAACACATATATCACACTAACCTCTGTGATGCCATGGCTGGAGCTGCTTCTCTTTGGTGGGGGCTTCTGATGTCAGATGGTGACGATGATGATGTTACGTCCGAAACTGGAACCTTTGGTAGAGAAAACCATGTCAAGCAAAGACAGAATTTTCTCCTTCATATCAAAGTCGTCAGTGATCCCACACAGAGGAGTGTCGAGTTAGGTTGCATTTTAATCACAGGTGAAAGGAATAAATCTAGGTATCTTTTTCAATAGCTCTTGTCATATCAGTTATTTAGTTCTATGAGAAAAACTGACACTGGAAACATTTACTCTGTCTGGTTCCAGCAGCTCAATCGTGGCAAAAGGCTCAGTTGAAAATTCTCCTGAATGACGTTTTAGCTTCTGAGAAGTTAACTTGCTGGACACAAAACCAAACTGTAAAACTATCTCTGTTGGATGAGCATTAACTTGCTCATCCAATCAAGCTGCATGTTCTCACTTGTAAAGATGCCAGATTGACCTTTTTCAGACTTGGCTCACCTGGTTGTCTTTAACATTCAGGAAAAAAAAAAGGTATTATTGTCGATAGAAAAGCGCCACAATAAGCATCTACTTTGCTTGACAGTCAAAGATGTTAGTCAGCTATGACATAAAACAGCAATTCATACATTTCCTTCAACCTGAGGCACACAACTAGAGGGCACTTACCTGAAGGACATGTTGTTATACGGTTTTGTTTTTTTAATTGAACTTTAATATTGTAGACTACGTTTGTACTGAAGGTTACACTACACGCTTTTCAGATTCAAACATGATTCAATATTTCCACAAATAAAGTTATAGGTTACTAGGCACAAAGCAGCAACAGTGCTACAAGGACATTAATTGCACTGAATAGTGTCAAAGGAAAATTGTCGCAGTAAGAAAGCAAATGTTTATTTATACAGCACCTTTCATTCCAGGTGGACGCACAATGTGCTGCACAGATTGTGAGGTACCACAGAAGTAGCAGCCACGTAACAATGTGGATAAAAAAGGAAGACATAAAATATTGAGGATTGAAATACAAATAAAATAAAAACAATTAAAAGAAGTNGGTTGAACACACAAAAGCTACACTTGAATTCAATCCACATCTTTCATCTACAATACTACTGACCCCCCGAAATAGTAACTTTATCCATTAAAGTACCTGATTTTGGGATATTTTGTTATATGGTATGTCTTGTTGTATTCAGATTTTGAGATGAGATACAGAGAAATATCATTCAAAGGTGTAAACCAAGTTCATTATATGAGCAGTGTGTTGGAGTAGCTCAGAATTAGAAGCTGAATATATAATATAGCTATTACTAAAATGGCACTAAGTAGAGTTTACACCTCCAACAAGACCCAACAGATCCCTCTTGAAACCACGTTCAAAATCAGTAGATCCATTTATTTGGATCTGCATCAAATTGCACACACTCTCAAATATTAGTCTCTTAAAAATGATTTTTTTTGGGGAGAGAAACATGAGAGAAACAATAATCTGGATCTGCCCCGTGATACAGATCCACACATAAATTTAATGTATTTTTTCTTGGGTCACGCAACACCTCCACAAGATTGGATGGAAATTGGCTGAGCATTTTTCCCCTAATACGGCTAATTAACAGAACGACGGTTTTTCAGTGGGTTAAGGTTGAGGTAGGAGTTTGGGAAATGGTGAGTAGGTGTGCATCATTTACAACGGACAAATAATATCAACTTAATTGCATAACTTAAACAGCATCCCGATACAAATTATTCATGAATGTTTGAATGTACTCAAAGTCATTTTGACACTTGCAGTATGTGACAGACCACAAACAATCGATTTGAAGCTACAGTCGTGGAGTAAACATGTCGGCACAGTGATGGGTGACGTTATATCTTCTGAGGAGTGACATAAAAAATGCACCATGTCCTGATCTGTAGTCTGCGTACTAGTGAGTCCACCAGCACTGTTTATATTTTGTCTGTCTACAGCAGTGGTTCTTCTTTGTAATCATTGCAACAGTGTCTCTATCCAACCTTTATATTATTCAATGCTTTCAGTCAGTATTTGATCCAAAGCATAACTCTAACATCAGTAAAGTTGACATAAGTAGTATTGAAATATATTTCGAAATTATTAACAAATGGGCTATTTTTAAGAAAATAGGCTCATTCCACACTCATCACAAGTATTTACTGTCCGGGTTGATGTTGTATTATAATGAATTGGGGATGAAACCCACACATGCAGGCAGTAGCACTATAGTTACATAGTCACACTATTATCTTATGTTCTATTTGCCTTGTACTGAAGAAACCCTGACCCATCACTTCGACTTAAAAGTGAGAATTAAGAAAAAAATACTTTTTGGATTCATTACACAGATGCTACAAATTAGCTTCAAGCTCATTCTGATTAATTAAAAAGAGCAACATTTTATCTGGATTGTTCATGTGAGTAATTTAGTATCATCTGAGAATCAGCTGAGTTTTAATACTGTGTCGGTGCTGATTCTTTTCCCGATGTCAGCTGACTGTCATCAGTTACCTTCCAAGTCAATGAATTTAAATTCAGAGCCTTCCAGTCATCAACAAGGTTTTGGATTTTTCAAAAATCAGAATGATGTAAGTTTTCTCTACCACATCAAAAACATCATATTCCAGCGTGGTTGGACAAATATGTAATTTTTAAATTCCTAGCTGTCAACAGCCTAAGCTGTCATCTCTGCCAGGGATTCAACAATGTGTTAAGTTACTGTTCAACCCCGTGAATTAAGAGATACTTTCACCTTGTGTAGAGTCACTGAATTTACAAAGATATGATTTAGTCTTTATGACAGAGGTGGGGAACCTTTCTCCTTTCAACGGCCATTTCAATTTTATAACATCCTTCGAGGGCCATTCTAAATTATTGAACACATATATCACACTAACCTCTGTGATGCCATGGCTGGAGCTGCTTCTCTTTGGTGGGGGCTTCTGATGTCAGATGGTGACGATGATGATGTTACGTCCGAAACTGGAACCTTTGGTAGAGAAAACCATGTCAAGCAAAGACAGAATTTTCTCCTTCATATCAAAGTCGTCAGTGATCCCACACAGAGGAGTGTCGAGTTAGGTTGCATTTTAATCACAGGTGAAAGGAATAAATCTAGGTATCTTTTTCAATAGCTCTTGTCATATCAGTTATTTAGTTCTATGAGAAAAACTGACACTGGAAACATTTACTCTGTCTGGTTCCAGCAGCTCAATCGTGGCAAAAGGCTCAGTTGAAAATTCTCCTGAATGACGTTTTAGCTTCTGAGAAGTTAACTTGCTGGACACAAAACCAAACTGTAAAACTATCTCTGTTGGATGAGCATTAACTTGCTCATCCAATCAAGCTGCATGTTCTCACTTGTAAAGATGCCAGATTGACCTTTTTCAGACTTGGCTCACCTGGTTGTCTTTAACATTCAGGAAAAAAAAAAGGTATTATTGTCGATAGAAAAGCGCCACAATAAGCATCTACTTTGCTTGACAGTCAAAGATGTTAGTCAGCTATGACATAAAACAGCAATTCATACATTTCCTTCAACCTGAGGCACACAACTAGAGGGCACTTACCTGAAGGACATGTTGTTATACGGTTTTGTTTTTTTAATTGAACTTTAATATTGTAGACTACGTTTGTACTGAAGGTTACACTACACGCTTTTCAGATTCAAACATGATTCAATATTTCCACAAATAAAGTTATAGGTTACTAGGCACAAAGCAGCAACAGTGCTACAAGGACATTAATTGCACTGAATAGTGTCAAAGGAAAATTGTCGCAGTAAGAAAGCAAATGTTTATTTATACAGCACCTTTCATTCCAGGTGGACGCACAATGTGCTGCACAGATTGTGAGGTACCACAGAAGTAGCAGCCACGTAACAATGTGGATAAAAAAGGAAGACATAAAATATTGAGGATTGAAATACAAATAAAATAAAAACAATTAAAAGAAGTTGTAATAAAAGATAAAAATACAATTAAGACCAGTCGCGCAGAGCTAAAAAATAATTTTTAGTTCAGATTTAAAAGATGGTAGTGTTGTAGCGTAAAAGCTGAAGGCACTTTCACCACTTTTGGTCTAGAGCCAGGTAACAACCAGACGGCCTCCTCCAGATGTTAGAGGTAAGTGCAACCACAGCCAAAACTTGTGCAGTTCATCAAGTTGTTAAAAAATACAAAGTTAAATGTGATTTTTGTGTCTGCTGCAACTTATACTCTGCTTTCACTGAAACTCCTACTGTATTGGACGGAACTGTTTCCTTCCATGATTCTGCCTGGTGTCATTGATTGTGTTTATGTCTCTATAGATGTATATGTCTCTGTCTATGGAAGAAAACCAGTAACCCCTCTGGGGATTAATACATTTCATCCTATCCTTTAAAACGGGTCTAAAAGACTCTGACATATTTTAATGATTTTCTGGCCAGATAGCAGCAGGTGGCCCCTCTGGTCTGAACTGCAGAGGCTGTAGCACGGCTCGTGGGCAGCTGCTTGCTCGGTGTCACCAACGAAATACCCTGAGCACTTTGTACAAAAGTACAAAGCTGTGATTCAACTCTTTATCCTTCATCTTTGATTCAATAAATTGTTGAGATTCATGAGAAGATAGACACACCTACAAAAAAATACCTTGAATTCCACGGAAATATTAACAAAATACTATCTGAGAAGTGAGCTGCATGTTCCTACACCTTAAACTCACAGTTACAGGGTACAGCTCCGTGATTGTGTGTGTTTGTATGTGCTTGTGAAGGGATGTGTATGTGGGTGTATACTCTTGAGGAGTATGTATACGTTAGCAATGCTTTAGGCCCGGTTTGCATGCTGTGTGCAAAAGGCTGCAGGGCCTGCACAATGGGAAGCGTTGCAACGGTGAGCCAGGTGTGGTTTAAATACACAAAACAACAGATTTACAGCTGTAGCAATAAAGCACAAACTCACCTGAAACTGCGCTTCCTCCTTCCTTCAGACACATGCAGTGATATCCTCCGAGATAATGTCCACTGGGACCAGTACGCAGAAGCAGAGCCCTCAGAGAGACGCAGTGACACAGTCCAAGTACAACGTGTCCGTTATAGTCATCCATGTGTGACGAGCTAAAAAAGAAGGGGCTAATGAGGTGTTCATTTCTCTGAGGGGTATCAAACAAAGCAGGGTGACGGGCAAATGTGCAAATGCTAAAAGAAACATTTTTACACTTTGGGAAGATGAGAAGATCGATATCGCTCTCTTTGCACTCTTTCAGTTTTTAAACCCAACAGTCTGTTATCTGAGAAATAAGACTGAAAACAGGGCAAAACAATGAACCTGGATCTGTCCAAACGTAATAAAATTCACCTACTTGCACATCTGTAGGTAAGAAAATCCAATTTCATAAATATCACCATCCAACAATGGAAGAATACTTTTTGTCTTTGGACCGTCTTTGTCCCAAGAAGGGATCTTGTTGAGCTAACTATCTCAGCATTGGTTCCATTGATACCATGAAACAGGAGTTATTAATCGTCTCATTTTACACTGAACAGGAAAGCTTGAAGAGCTTAAGTGTGGGGCCGCTGTGGCTGAGGGGTAGAGCGGTCATCCTCCAACCAGAAGGTCGGCATTTTGATCCCCAGTCTTCCCCATCTGCATGCCTAAGTGTCTGTATGAATGTGTGTGTGAATGGCAAACTGTACTGTAAAGTGCTTTGAGTGTGCTATATAAATAAAAAACATTTACCATTCATCAAAATTAACCTTAAAGGCTAATTCAATGTCTTCATGTCCACAAGAGTTGGCTTTAGTCGGTGTGACGTAAATGTTGTCTTCCGTCCATGTTCTTGAGGGACCACGCAGACCCTTATGGGGTGAGATGGTTGAAAAGCCTCTTGCCTTGGTCCCACAGGTGTCTGGAAGAAAGTAGAGAGGTTGTGTCAGGTGTTGAATGCAGTTGGACAGCTGCCTTGGACAGTTTCTTCTTCTACTGATTGAGAGTGTGGATTAAGAAATGCACATACAGGGAACATCAAAACAACCCAGAGCGTTAGCTCAAGTTTAAATTGATTTAGGTGCGTCCATGCATGAAGTACACCCAAACCTCAAGAAAATTATTTTACAAAGTGTGCATATCCTCAGCTCAGATTTTGACCCAACAGGAAAACATTTAGTAATAACTCTTATCTGAAAAAGGAATAAAGTACCTAATGCTGTGGGCCTGAGATTATTCTGTTCCTGTGATTATGTAAAAATGTACATCTGCAGATGATTGTTTGAAATTGTTCTTAAGTATTTCTTTATTCACAAAGCAACACCCCCAACTCTCATGACAATTATTTATCTTATGTTGTGAATTACTTTTTTTTTTCATTTTTTAATCAGCACCCCTTCTTTAAGCCTTATTAGTCGTTAGATTGGTGTTAATTTTATTATTTACTGTTTTTTTGTTTTACCCACACTTGAACTGAAATAAAACATACATTCATAACTGCATAGCAGCTACCTAGTTGGTGATAGTCCCGTGAACCTTTCCTGTGAATCCGGAAATGTTTAAATTTTTTTTGTGAAAAGGGTATTAGAGATGCTAAAAAGGTTAAGTTGTCCAAGTTTTTTATTTCTCAAGGATATAAATAATAGTATTTTAAAATATAGGTTTCCACTGACAAAATGTAATTCATACACTATCAAGTAGTATTGGTGCTTAGTACCGAAACAAGATTGTTGCAGAAGATGAAATACAGCATTTAAAATAAAATAAAAGAGCATAGATAATGCTATGACGGCAGCATAAAAGTAAACTCAAATTGTAGCTGTGCTATAGCATAATATGGAAAACAACCATAGTACTACACCGATAGGAAACCACAGCTGGAAAAGAAACCACAGTTTCTAGTCAGCCCGTTGTTAAGATTGATATTGAGTCAAGAAATTATCGTAGATGTCACAGTCTGAGTCTGAGCGCAGGTGAAAGTGTAGGCACAGTGTCAACGTGTGACAGCATAATGACTGCACCCTCACCCAGCCTCTCTCTGTTTGTAGAAGACGCCCACCTTAGTTCAACAGCATTTGGATCTGTTAAATCAGACTCCATGTACAGGTGAACATCATGTGTCAGACGTAGTACGACAAAGATGTTGAGCATGTACTGAAAAGGCTTTATAATGATTTCAAGTGAGATTTCTGTCAAGATGTCAAAGTATGACTCAAGCTGTCTTATTCTTACGTTACATAATGGTCTGCAGATGTTTTAATGCAGCGTGGAATTTCGGACCCCAAGTTGGAAGTTGCAACTGGAACGGGATCAAATCGGAATTTCATCGCAGAAGGTCAGACCATTCTCACCACCCCCGACTTAGAAATCAAAAAAGGCCCCTCCGTATATCCATATGCGTGAAATACCGCGTAATGCGTTATTATGAACAGTTTTTGCTAATGATGGTTCGCTGAATAACAAATTGTTTCCTTTGCAACTGGAACACTCCACGGTGCAATGGAACGTGGCATAAGTCTGTTTGCTGTATCACTCATGGGTGTCACCTGGCCTGGGCTGTCAGGCCGTAGATTTTTTCTTTCCTTCAATAAAGAAACTATGAGCCGCTTGTAACTCATCAGTAAAAGAAATATTCAGTGTTATAATTTCATGTCTTTTATGAATAGTAGCAAGCACAATCAGAGGGTTTACAAGAAAATATTGGAAACCTTTTTCTGAAATATGTTGCGAAGGAAAAGATATCGATTTTGGTTTGATATTTATTCATCTTTTTGCATTTTTCCATTCTTAGCTGTATCTTTACCATATTTATTTATTTCATATCCACTTTTTGGAGGGGGTATGTTCTGTAAGTGTTTCTGTATGTTTATCACTCCAAAATGCAAAAACAAACTATAATATCTCCCCAAAAAGCAACACTAAACTAGTCTAGTCTGATAAAAGGTTTGGCATCAGTCTGGTAGTTCCAGAAACAGTGATCACACAAGGTTTCATGACGAATCCAGCTTTTATCAATTTTTTTTTCACACATTGACAGATAAGACACCACAGTTTCCATTCATTGAAATACTGTGTGTACTGATATCAAAGGGTAAACCAGTTAATGGCCAAGAAGCCGAGAGGAACAGAGCAGTGGTAATTCTTGGTAATTATTTTGGCAGCTATTTAATTGCTCTGAAGTTACATCCATCTCTCCATGTTCCTGTTTTTAAACACTCATGTGATCACTGCCCGCCCTGGATCTCCATATCCATTTAGCCAGAGCTGTGACACATGAAAGCTTGTGAAGCTCTAAGGTGATGTGAAGTGCCTGAACAACTGGCGGGCACCCAAGTCTGAATTTTTCTCATGCATAAAAGTGGACATGGCATTACTGCTACCATTGGCAAAATTGCATAGTGCAGTGCAGCTGGACAGGGAACAGATAATGGCCGGAGACTCTTCTCCACTGATGAGACGTGTCAGCGACCAACCTGAGAGTAACATTTTTTGTTTGTGAAATGGCAAATGAAGAAGTCCCAGAACATATCGTGTTAGCTTTTGCATGTTGGTGGTTTAACAAGGTTAAAGAGGCAAAATCATTATATACCCTATATATCAGAGATCTTTGATGTTCTGTATCAGAGTGAAACAGGAAGCAGAGTCTACAAACATCACCGTATAGATTTAAAATATGCATTGCACAACATGAGGCCCAGGAGTAATTCAGCATCACACAAGACTTTTTATGCAAATCTGAATCAAAAACAAAGAGGAAATTTGTCCCCCTTGATATCACAGAAATGTCACACACCCCGCTGCAAGCATCAAAGAAGCAACTGGAACTTAATGGTGCCCATTGTGATGTAAAGCCACCCATTGTGGAGTAAAGGTGCAAACTATGGCCATTTGTATGTGCATGATATTCAGGAGAACAAGTGCATTTGTTTCTTTTTGTCTTTGGACAGAATGAAATATAGCCATCAGGAGCCGGCACAAACAAACAATACAAAGCGAGCTAAAGCTAATCAATTCTGCAAAAATACTAAGTGAATCTATAAAACAAAAACAAGATTTGTTTTTTCTGATCCTCGGGAGAATGTTTATTCACAGCTCAATGTTGGGTTGAAGTCACTGATGCCACTTTTCATTTTCTTAAATTTCTTCGACTCAGTTTCCAAACGGATGGAAGCTTCTGGATGGGAAGTGAATCTGGGGCCGATGAGTAAGTGGTCAAAGTTTACATAGAGCATGTGGTTAAACATCATATTTAAATTGACGCTCCTGCTGTTCATATGTTCATAGAGTTACTGTCATGGGGAAAAGAGACGGGAAGCATACTGTCGCTTTCTGATTATATATATATATATATATATATATCCAGGAAAAAATAGCAAGAATGGGCTAAAGTATTTTGAAAAATGTAATCGATACATCCCATCAGCCATCTCATCAAAGCTACACCCCTGAAATACATGAAGGTGCAGTGCATGACAACTGCTAAGCTGACTTTTCTGTGACCAGCTGGCTAACTTCTGGCTGTTGCCTCAGTTTCAGCGTTGTATGCTGTATGTCTCTCCGGCTGAAGAGTCATGAACATCAAGAGCCAGCAGGTCGGTGAGTGACAGAGAGGCTGGAGGCTAGGTCAGATGCTTCTGGTGGACCACACCTGAATCTGGGGGCAATCTGTCAGTGGTCAAATTGCATCTTGGGTAATGCAGGTGCAAGGTTTTGCGAATGAAAAAAGAAATATCTGATTCTGTAGATCTCCCATTGTCACTGACACCTGCATTTTAAGCAGAACCACAGACATAAAGAGGATTACACGCTGCTGCAGTCGGACTGACACATCTCTGGGACAGTTTTCTGATGTTTATCCCGTTTATAAAATTCTCTTTCCACATCTTGGCCTTTTTCTTAGTTTCTGTTTTTTGGATGCTGTGTCTGTTTACATATGCTCACAGATGCCCGGCTCCTGTGTGAGAGGACAGACTGCAGCAAGTATTGTAGGGACATTCACACACATCTCCTCCCACCAGTCCTGGGGGAGGATCCATTCCCTTCCAAACGCACACCATCGCCTGAGGGGTAGAGTGACCGCTCAAGCAGTGCCTGTCTCCATACACACACACACATACACACACACAGAGGCAGATTCGTTGTTGAGCCGTTGTAACATTCAAGCCAAATTGATTAGAGAATACCGAATGCCAAATGGAGTGACCACTTATTAATGATTAGCAGTTACCAGGCCACGTGATAGGTTTGCTGAAAAAAATCTCTTTAGCTGCTCTAGTTTTTTTTACATTTTTGCACTACACCCTTATTTATCCATTTGTAAATGTCAAAGTCAAACCACATGTTCCTACTGTGTATATTTCTTTCATGAATAGCCTTATTAGGGCCTAGAAACAAAGAGCTACTGCAACACATGTACAAGCACTTCCTTCACTCCCCCTCCCCACCATCTCCATAGCTGTCCTGCTGTTTATATCTTTGTCTCACTTTGCAGCTCGACTCTTCTTTCTTTTTTTGGGATATTTTAGCCACATACCTCCTTGTTTCTCTGACTCACGTCATCCTCACTGGCTTCTCCTTTCCCTGCTCTTTGCAGGCCTTGTGCCTGACACCTTCCCCAGACCTTTGACATGCTCCACTTCAAGTTATGAGCATCACATGCCACCTCGTTGGATTCTGCGTGTGTGTGCGTTTTTATGTGTGTACACATCTCGAGTGCATGTGAGCGTTTCCCGCCGGAGGTGAGTGTGAAGAAAGGAGAGGAGAGAATGAACAAGGAGGGAGAGTTTATGCATTTAGCCCAAGTTTGTTAATAATTAATGTGTCACAGGTTTGCAAAATTGCCTCAGACTCCCGCCGCTCGATCCTCCCTCTCTCCCTTCCCTTTCTCCTGTTCACTCCGT